GATTCATGTAGGCTTTGAAACTAAAGGTACTACTGATTTTCTACACTCAGTTGTCTTACTTTCTGTTTACTTGAGTTTCTAATCTCCACTCCGATAAGCAACGATTTCTTTAAATATACAAAATCCCGATAACTAGAAAATCCGTTTAAAAACTCAAGTTCATGTATCCGAAGTATTTTTCAAGTAAAAATGTACGAATAAAATAATAAATGAGCTCGGAAAAAAGCGATTTTTGAGCTCGGTGTGCTTAATTGGCTTTAAAACGAGAGAAATGGGCTCGGTAATAATAAAATTCTATTTTATTTATATAAATGAGAGTTTTGAGGTTGGAAATTAATTTATACTCTGAAAAGATACGAATGAGCTCGATTAATTTTATTTTTGAGGGGTAAAAAGAGAGAATTGAGCTCGGTAAATAAATTAATGATTTTACCAGTAGCAGAGTATACCGAGTAAGAAAAAAATAATTCAGGAACAAAATAAATGTTAGGTTACAATAGTTTTTTACTACAATTTATTACAATAATTTTTTATTACAATTTTGGTATGGAGGTAGTGCAAACCTTGGCCCATTTACCAATTTTTCTCGTTTAACTCCATTATTTTGTTCTTGTAAATATGACTTTAAAGAATATTCTAGCGTTCATTCATTGGGCTTAATGATGATGTGGGGTCAATCAAAATCAGTAGTACCTTTAGTTTCAAAGCCTACATGAATCAAATCGCTGTTTACTGTCTAAAATGGTCAAGTAGATTCAACTATGAAATAAACCTACTAGTGACTTCTTCTGCATAATCATCTTCATTTACCGTTCTGTCACTTGACCAAGTGATGAAAAAACATGACATTTTTACGGGACTAAGTAGCTAAGGTTTGTAACCAGTTAAAAGAATTTTCACGGATCGGACCGCTCGTGTTTTTACTTAACTCAGTTAATTTCGCGTCGCAAATGTACAACCAAAAATTAGCTGTATATGGAACACTAGTTGAGGTATGGATGATATGATCATTAGAGGCGCTCGTGCGCTTCTTAATAATTATCATTCTGGCATACGTGCAGTTTCGTCAGATTTGCTACTTGCGTAGATCGACAGAACTCGATAAGGTCTACAACACATATAGAGTCTGAATGAAGTGACGGTATTTTCCATGTGAACCAGGAATGTTAGAACACAATAGTCACTTTTTGGAGAGCTCTTGATAAAATGTAATTACGTTTGAAAATATCGTGAGGAGACGGAAGACGTCTCGTTATAGCGAAAATTTTTTAGTCTACAAGGCAGACTCTTATTGTTTGATACGACATCAATTTTGTAAATTTAAAATTAGCGCTCTCTGAGCCAAAAGTGACATCCATTAAAAAAAGTCAATTTTTCTAGGATAATTCGAAATTATAAAGAACACTTGACCCTATCTCGATCCTTTTCGTTTTAAGAAGAGGGTGTATTCTGTCTTTAGACATCTGCTACAGCCCGTCAACTTATATTCATGTTATTTGTATGTTTCATCAATTATTTGTTCTGCAAAATGTCTAAAAATTTGCACACAAAATAGTATGAGCTGATTGATGATACATTCTGAATGATACCATTTTACATCAAAAAAGAGCGATTCAAAAATTATTTGATGATAAAAACACAAAATTTTGTTACAACATTAGAAACACATGTTTACAAACTAAGATAAATGAATTTGACACCGGTCAATTGTTGAACGGGATAGAATTTTATGTTGATCATGCATACGGGGACGAATGATTATCTGAGTCATTCCATTTGATGGATACAGAATGCCCACAATGCTAATCAAACAGTTCAGTCTGGTTTTTGTACATTAGTTGCTTTTTAAACATATAAACAATTAGGACAATGCAAAATATTGATATTCTAATTCTTCTGACAATTTCCATCATAATGCGAATAATGGCACTTGTAAATCCCAGAGCAGTGGCAGGACTCGTAGTATACGGAGCAACCAAAGACATAATTGCATCTGTTCAATGGATTTTTTCTTCAAAACAATATGAAAACATACTTCTCGATTATTTCCGATTTCATGTAACGGTCAGTGTTCTCGATACAAAGTTTGAGTGAATTACTAAAATTAGTCGAAAAAGGTCATTGAGATAAGCCGACAAAAAACCTCGTTCCACTAAAATCCAGTCTAGATGTGTAAATAATTTCACGGTAAATTATTTCAAAATTATCCTATTTTAAATATTCTCTATATATGATATGAACAAATAAATAAACTAACTTATAACAAGAAAATAAAATATTAATTTTGTTTCTCTTATTAATCTAATGACATATTTTTTAATAAATTATATTTCCAATACAGTTTTGGTCGATACAATCGATTAAAGGGTAACAAATAATGTGCCAATAATTTCTTTAATAGTAAACGTTTTTTAATACGTATCATTTTTAAACGATTTTCATCTGAATTATTACCATTTAATTCTTTTTGTTTACAAACACGAATCTAAACAAAATACAATAGTACACTAATGAACGTTTATCTAAAAGTAATAACTTACAGCAAGTTTTTTCTTATCTTCATAACCACGTACGTGAAGATTATCTTTAAAAAAGAAGTTACAGTTAAAGAAAAACAATTTAATAGTATATAATCATTCTATGCATTATAATAAGATGCCCACAATTCAAAATTTGAAAAAAATTTCTTTTTGAGATATTTATACATAGTTTTGAGATTCATTCAAATTTTTTCAATTTTTCTTCCTTAAAATAAATTTAAAAAAAAATTAAAAATCACTTTTTCTTACTCAACTCGATCTAATTATGTATATAAATATCTTAAAAAAAAAATTTTCCTCGAATTCTGAATTACCGGTACCTTATAAGAGAGACTATTTGTTTTCTTCTCTAGAACTAATTTAAAAGCAAAGGATACTGATAAGTATTTCCATTAGTGCCAAATCCCAAACACAATCATAATAATCATCAATATCATCATTGAGATTGAAGTTTTCTTGTAATGTTTTAAATATAATATTATAATCGGGTTGATTTAACAGTTGACATAGACATGCAACTTGCGTATGATAACCGAGTTGTAGTGTAGATTTAATCAAATTTCGAATTAACATATCATGATCTTGTACATGTTGACTATTATTCATTGTATCTAATGTTATTGAACATAAATAAGATTTTGTAGATAATGTATACTGTTGTAATGTTAAATATAAATCCCCTAGAAAACAAAAACATCATTCGATGTATACAACATCCAAAAACAATCAATATCTTGTGGTGATCAAGTATAGTGTTATATCTAAAGAGACATTTAGCATCAATCCTATAGCTCGTTATTTGGTATGTACAGACTAAATGCTGATCATAAGACTTTACATACCCACTGTTGTTTGACTAGGTCATTCATGAGATATGTACATTTCGCAGATTTTGAAGAAAAAAAAGTCGACGCTCGACTAAGAAAGAATATATTGACTTGTTACTTTCAGAGAATAATCTTCAAGGTTCGAAGTTAGTGACTAATCGTTTCTGGAAACATAAAAATTGGAACTTATTATTGAGAGATCTGTGAAAACTTACTTTAAAAAACGTTTTTTTAAGATTAGATAGAAGAGACAATCAGCTGTACGAATATATGCTGATATTAAATTATATATAATCTGTATTTTTTTTTAGGTAGATTATCATTTCAATTCAATTTTTGTGTACATTTTCAAAATCGAAAAATGACCAGATACCCATAACTGTGTAATTAATCAATGAGAATTTAAATGTATCCATAGATATGAGGAATAGTTAAAATAAAAAGTTATTCATTGATAAGGGAACAATATAATTTTCTTATATTCAATTAGAAATCAAAATAGTAGTAAGATAGACATATCTCCTGAATATTACAGTCAAACAAAGAATAAATGGATCCAAAGTCGTACCATCAGCATTTGATCTGTACTCTATACATATCAGATAGGATTGATATATCACCATCAATGTTTCTTGAAAGATGGTACTATCCTTGATCGATACTGTAACATGAATGAATATTACCTTGTGTTCTCAATAGTGATGATTTGATTTGAATTTGAGTTTGTTGAAATTTAATTGTTTGAATATGTTTGATACATAGATAAATAATATTTGCTAATATTCTTATATGTACACTTCGTTGACGTTGATCCACAATTGTTGTTGGCCAATATCGAGCATAATCCGAATAGATGTCAATATGTGATTGTTCAACAAGTACAATAGAATACATACGTGTTAATAATGAAAATAATATCGAAATAATTGTCGGATTATAAATAAGTAATAAAAATTTTTGAAAATTAATTGCTGTTAGTTTATCTTGTTGTTGTTGTGGATGTTGATGATGACGATTACCACGGTGTACTTTTTTATCTGATAAAATATCTAAAACTCTATCCCATAATTCACGAGTTATTTCTGGACGTATACTGTCAGTAATACAGAGACGAGCTAGAATTTTTGTTAAATCTAAATATTGACGATTACGCCGCGATGAACTTTGAATAGCATGAAGAAAATGCCATTCTCCACGAGATAGGGCATAGGAAAGTGCTACACGAATAACATCAACACTGGCATCTAAACAAAAATAGTAAAAATGAGAAATCAATGAAGAGAAATTAAACTGACGTTGTAACGAGATTACGATCTATAATAAGATGATCCAAATATAGTAGACGTTTTATATTATTTACAATGAAAAATTAACTCAGATATGCAATAAAAATGTGAGTTTGATTTCTTTGTTGATGAGGTACCTGTTTTTATATAGTAATTTATTATTACTTTACACATCTATATGAATTATCTTAAAATTCTGTACTTCTTAGTATTATTGTATTAAGATGACATCTGATGTCAACTAAAAAATATCAGAATAAGGACATATTTCAGAATGAAATGAAACATAAAGTTAACGCGTAATCCAGCACGTTGAAAAAATCCTCATAACTATAATAATTTTTTATATATTTGTTGTCTAACAGAATGTAATTTAATATTTTTGTAAAATTTAACGCAAGAAAAATATCTTATTGTAAAGATGTAAAACATCATAATATACTAGACAGTTAAAACATATAATTGAAACAGAACACTATAAATTAGAAGAATTATTTTCCAATGTGAATAAATATCAAAGTAAACTAATCGAATTTTAAATTATTTAGATGAGAAATAGTTATATCTATTGAGCATAAGTTTAAAGATAACTAACTAATTAATCATTTTCTGCGATTTTCCGATCGAGTATCCAGTATTTCGAGTGACTTGACATCTTTCAAGATCTAGTTTGAGTTAACATCTACATAATGAATTTGAATCAGCTCATCAACTTTCTGTCAGTCGGATACTATAAGCAGATATAACTGTCAAAATACGAGACTATTTTTTCTCTCATAGTTATATTTTAAATCACTGGCATATATTATAATGACAAATATGAGATAAACTTGTGTAAAAAATATTGTTCTGGACAAGAATATTATTTCATTCACATTTTCTTGTAGTCTATCATACAACTTTTCATTATCTACGACTTTGCTTAATAGGAAAGATCCTAAACAGACGATTGAGTGTTCTCAGATTATCAGAAGACATAAGCCAATTGATACGAATGTGGAAACGTACACTATTTTGAAAACCTATATTCGATCATAAGCCAAGTGATCTAGTAGGGGAATCATTTCTTTTTTATATCAGAAATCTCAGGGTAATTAGCAACAACAATCGATGTCTATAAATTTTCCTAATAAATATTGTTCGACAAGTTAATATTACTCACCATTTTCCGATTGTGTATCAGTTAAAAATGTTCGACATGCATCCCACGTATCTTGATTATCAAAGTTTTGTTTGTGTATCGAATCATTTAAATCAATTAATAACAATTCATATCTAATATATTTAATTAATTTTGTCGTATCTTGCTGTTGTGGTAGTGGTGACAACAATTCAGCAGCATGTAATAAAAGTTTTCTTGCTAATGAATAATGCTATGAAGAAGGGAAATAACATCAGATTTATGTGAAAAATGAACACAAACATACTTTGAATTGTTTTGCTCGTTGTGCTTTAACGTACAATATACGAATATATTGACCAATTAGAAGATTTGTATTTAAAATAGGTGATAATTGTTTTTCAATGACATTATTTGATTGATTCTAAATTAAAAAGTATTTTTTGAACTCAAAAATTTAGAGATTCGTCTTTACGTAAGAGAACGGACAATCAACTGACCGGTGGAAATAGATCGTCTAACATTTTAAGTTGTTTCATTTTATCAATATCATTTATTGTTTTGATAATTACATCTGGTTCGAATGAATGAATAAGACGATTTTGAATTTTGAATAATTCGGATGCTAAATAGTGAGACATACATTTACTTATTTATAATAAATAGAAGAGAAATGATAGTACCATTTACACGTCGTTGTATAGTCGATGTGACGGTTGACGAACGATATGTTGGCGATAATATTGGTTTTAAGGGTGGCATTATGAATGTTTGTCCAACTAAATGAGATAGTTTATCTGTACGTAATTGATCTTGAAGATTTTTTGTTAAATTTTGAAAATGAATTCTAAAACCAAACAAAAATTATTATCGTGTGAAAATAGACAATATTTTGAGACAAAGAGAATAAAGTGAGGAGACAGAAGTCTAAAAGATTTATATTTTTGACTTTTTTTTCTTCGACAATCATAGCTAAAACAAATCTAAAAATGGATTTGAGTAGGTGGAAGAGTTTTCCATTAGAAGAGATGTGTGCGACAATTTTTTATTGACATTGATAGAACCTTTGGAAAACCAAGAGTCCCAAACCTTCTTTCTTCATTAACCCTTTAGCCCCGGATGTCTACAGACGTGAACATTAGTAGGATCGCTATAACAAGATGAGGACGCATCGAATAAAAAAACAGATTTTTTTCTAACGTAAGCTGACATCAGACGCTAGTTATTGCTTAGAAATAAATTTTGTTTCTTCGACCGTAAACTAAATTACAATTGCTTCAAGTTCGCTTTGCAAGATCAGCTGCCGGAGGTAAAGGGTTAAACTGTATTCAGTCTATGAAAAGTTTCCAAGATATTTTTCTGATGTTTTCTTGAAAATTTGAATAAATTTGATGCGTTTAACGCTTAGATATCATTCGTAAATTGAATGCTGATTGAAGAAAGACCATAGAGAGCTTGAACACGTCTCATTTTGATCAGAAATATTCGCTTCATACGAACGAGTTTTTTTTATAAAAGATTTTCAATCGTATTGAGAAACCTAGATTTGGACATTTGGGTTTTCCAAACGCTTCATCAATGTCGATGAAATTTTCGCATACACCTCTACTAATGGGAAACTCTTTCATCTACTCAAATTCATTTTTAGATTTGTTTTAGCTATTATTGTCGAAGAAAAAAAGTCGAAAATACAAATAGTTTAAATTTATATCTTTGGAATTATAGTAAGTTACTAACCGATTACATAATTTTGCACTAATCTTACCTTAAGAAATTGTGTAATAATGCTTGCTGTTTTGGATTTACTTTTTTCACACGTTGTAATGCCTAAAATGCGAACATCATGTTAATTGTTGTGTACACTATGAAGAGGTGTTTACCTACAGTGTCAAGATAATCAAATGCATACTGAATATTCGACAAATGTTTACCATCAAGTAAAGCGCGAACCAAATTGAATGAACAAACAATTTTATACTGTTGAGAACCCCTGTTAAAAAAAAATGATGAATTAAAGCACTCTGTACGAGACATTTTCTTTTCGACAACAAGAATCCATTAGTTTATTACTCAATTAACGTGCCGTGAAGCATCTGAAAAAGTTCTCTAATATTAACCTAACATAAATACTGTTAATTACGATCAACAACAAGTTCAAATATAAATTTCTGCGTTATTTTTACTAATGATAAACAGGTGCTCGATACGTACACGTCTAGACGATCTTCAAGTCTCATTCTTGCAGCCATTGACATTTCTTTTGTATCATTATCTTCGGCTAATACAGAAATACAATCCTAAATTTACAAAAATAGAAATATGTTCAACATTAAACAATTTCATCTTTTCAATTTTCCTACTTCGGATGATGCACGTAATGCCATAGCAATACGATCTTTTGGTTTTAACATTCGTTGTTCCATTGATGGATTAATCGATTGTAATGATGTTAAATAACCGTCTAATGATGAAAAATAATTTAAATTTATCTGAGATCGTACATCATGCACTCGTCGAAACATAGTATACGCATTAACATAATTTTGTTCATAAAAATATATTGAGCCTAAATCATAGGCAACCTGATTATTAAAATAAAAACAAATGTAAACTCTTATATTCTAAAGCATAAAAACAATTTATACTCTAGCTAAACATTCTACAAGTGGGTAATTGACCATTTTTGACCAATCATAATTAACATTTCCATTTTCGTAATCAATAAAACCAAAACATGTTTCTAATGGTATACAAATGATCTCTTTTTTCCATTCTAATAATGTATCAAGAGCTTGTATTGAATCTCGAACTTTAGCTTTGGCCATTTGTATAACATTTTCATTTGGTTCTTTCATATGTTGCAACGGATTTACATAACCAGCTCTATATAAAATCGTATACTTCAACTATATGATTAAATATAAAAACCAAAATTATCTATACAAACCGAAAAGTTGAATCAATGATTTTTCTCAAATTTAAAGTAGCAGCTAATAAATAATTTAAAGTTTGAATGTTCCATGTACGTGGAAGTATCAATTGACCTTAAACTAGAGCCATAGGACAATGTTATTTTTACTTGCTTGTAGATCATGATTAGAGTGCAATTTTTACAAAGTTCAAAAATACTTGGACGTTCAACTTTTTTTAAAATATATAAGGCAGAATATTCTCGCACCGAAAAATAATAAACCGGAGAAAATGAGTGTTTCTACAGAAAGTAATTAGCATCGATACTACCAATTTTGAGAAAAATCTTTAATTCGACTGCTACGTGTATTTATTACTATAAAATGAACACATCTCTTACACGTTCACTGGAAATATTTTTGCTTGTTTAACCGGAAATGATGATTGAACAACAGTTCGAACTATCCTAAATATTGAATGATTAAGAGTAAATTTTTAATTGTCATAAAATTAAACAAATGATTTAATTTACCATCGATGTAATAATTGTACAGCAAACAAAGCTGGTTCATCTACTTTACTCAATTGTTGAAATTGTTCTCGATCTTTATAACATTTGTCTATCACTGAATTTGTCGTTAAACGCACAAAACAATGAATAAGATCTGACTGAACAGCAACCGGAATTCTAAACAAATAAATACACAATTTTGAAAAAATAAATAATAATAAATATAAGCAAAAATACTAACCTTTTTTCAATAATAACAAGATCCCAGTTGAGTTTGGCGGCAATTTTCATTGCTAAAAATCTCAATGCTTTGATTTTGTTATCTTTCAATTCAATTTCATCTAAATATAAAAAAATGATATGAATTAAAATACTCCTCAAATAAGAAGTACTTTGAAAACTTACTAGGATTATCAGTTGGTTTCTTTGTTTTTTGTTCAATTAAATTTGCATGAATTAAAAACTGAATAATTAAATCTGTGCCAGCCACTTCTATAAAGAGAGCAATAACGACATAAAGTTTGATATGAACTTAATAATTACACTTACCAAGATTATCTTGTGTCAAATATTCATCTAATAATGTAGGATTAAGTAAAAATTCAAACCAACTTGATGATTGAGAGGCAACAGACGATGTTACTGTACGACTGAACTCCGTCATCTTAAATAGCAGTTTAATCTAAAAGAATAGAGGACATTCCAAGTGTAAAATTAAACATCTATGTAGTATGTATAGTTGGGTGGATGGGTAGTTATTAAAAGTTCGTCTATTATGAAAAATCGTGGATACATTTGCACGTTTTAAACTAACACGTTGTCTGCGTTCTTATTTTCATTTGTTGTTTGAAATATAGTGCAGATACTCACAAACCTGCAATAATATGACTGATCATTTCAGCCCATCAGCTTTCTACTACTGCTTACTCGTTTGTTTCCAGATCAAATGCCTTTTATATCCTTAACGGTAAGTTTTTATCGTAATTGTTTGATAAAATCGAGAATAACTGAATTCCAAAGATAGTTTCTATGCATTAAAACAGATACTTTTCAATCTGGATTATTTTGACTTTTATACAGATCTTGATTATTTTTAATACAGAAGAACAAAGTACATATGAGAAAAATGTTATACAACTATGAAAAGAGAGTAAGACCGAACATTATTCTAACAAATAACAACAAAAAAATAGTCACAGAGAGAATATATTCATTAAATTTAACCACTAATTTAACAAAAACGAGATGTTCACACATTAAATCATTATAATACAGAGGGGTAGAATTGAAAAAAATATAGAAATGAGAGAAGAAAAACCACTTATTTTTTTCAAAACTTCATGAGTTTTTGAAGGAAAAATCTTTATTTTATCGTTATTTCCCTTGGTTAATATCACGAAATCAGAACGGCATAGGACACAGAAAAATGTTTTCCAGATAATACAATTCATACTGCCCTTCAAACGACCTGCAGAATATCATGACATAATATGTGAGCAGTGTGCAAAAGTAAAAGAGTACATCTATTTTCTATTTCTATAACGCAGCATAGCTGCTTACAGTAAAAAACTATATACATAAAACAACTAAAGAAAAAAAAGATATGTGAACTATCAACATTATTTCCCAGCTTTAAGAAGAAATCTTATTTATCTATATCTAAGAGAAAGAGCGACAACGTACAACAGGAACATACACAGATGACAATAATTATCAATTGTCTTCTTCGTTTAATAATTTTAAACGGAAAAAGGCAAGAATATTCCGACACTTATTGTTGTGATTCGGGAAAATGTTCATAATAACGTTCAAGCCGTAAATACTTCGCTATAATTTCTCGACCTAAACATAGAGTAAAATTATCAAGATCAGTGCAGATTGATACAGTCTAATTTAACTTTTGCCTGTGCTTTTACCACATTATTAGTCTTTAACAGTTTTTCTCTTAACTGTACAATACAGAAACAAGAAGATTCTGTAAAAATCTTGTTTTACCTTGATAAACCCATTTATTGAGTAACTGGTATCCTTGTGCCGCTGCTTCTTTTGAACTAAATTTGAGATAGACATATGTCTAAAAATTGAAAACAGAGACATAACAACCATTAATCTATTGACGACTAATACACAATTACTTACTGAATTGATACCAATATGTTCAATTCGTTTAATACTAGAGCAACGTTTTTGAATATTTGCAACAACATCATCAATTTCGTCATCATCCGCCATACTGCAAGACATTTAACAAAATCAATGATTAATTGGAGTCAAAACAACAATCCGTTCTACGTACTACTGTGTATCAAAAAAATTTCTTAATTTTAAACATTCTGTAAGTCCTATGTCGTTTGGCATATAAATGTAACTATCATTTTCACCACCAGTTTTTTTGGGAGAATCCTACAAAAATAACAACACTAACAACATATTGTGTGGTTGAATAAGTGTACTAAAACTTACGCTAATCATTGATCGTTGCTGTTCTTTTTGTTTTGTTGTGGGTGATAGTGGTTGTATCCATCTCCAAACATCAAATTCTTCGCCATGAATCAATTGTGATTCCAGACGAACACGTGATTCTGCATTTGATATGTGTTCTTTAGCACGTTCCCAAAGAGCTTTCAAACGTTTTCTAAAAAAGATTAGTGTTGATATAATATCGATTGAGACTCTGTATTGTTTGAGTTTTACCGATCTTTTGGAGGAATGAGAATATCATGAATATGATTAACAGCTAGAAAAGGTTTAGAAGTTGGATCATTTATATGAGTTTCATATTGATCTTCTAGCATATCTACAATACAAAAAGTATTTAATGTTTACTGAGATAGCTTTCTATAAAATGTTTATTTACTAAGTATTTCTTGAACAAATCCATTATATGTGTGTTCCTGTTCTTCATGTTGCTTTGATCGTCGTTTAAATGCCCATGCTAAACTCACCAATCCCAATGTGGCTAAAATATACGGCATTTCAGTAACTGCTACTACTCATTACACTACAATTATCATTTACCTGTCAATAACCAAAACATATTTTGTAATGCTGAATTAACACCTTTTCTGGCACGACACGATAACGAACGAATAGCGTCTAGTGTACTTAATTTAAATGCGCTGTCTGATCGTTTTGCATCATTTATCTCTATATTGAATTTGTCATATACTCTAAAAAAAATAAAAATCCAAGATAAAGAAATCAAAAGTAGAAGTACTGTAATAACCTTACAGAATATCTTCGACCGGTTTTTCAATAATATAGGCAATCAATGATCGCCATCTTTCAACAGGACCAAGTTCAAATTTGTAATTCTAAATTAGCAACAACAAAATATAGTTGATATTGACAGCTAATAATAAATAGATACCACCGTACATGTTGATCAAGGTATTTTTCGATTTCGGGCTTAATAACTCGAATATCGGCTGCTGGACGGAAACCACAATCAACTTCACCTAGAAAAATAAATAATTCTAAAAATGTATATTAAACTTATCCACATCGCTTATCAGACCACGTCGTATTTGTAATTGTTTTCGTAAATCAGCCACCATAGGTTCCATATCGGGACAATAGGTCTTAAAATAAAGAAACAAGTTTGAAGACTCTACAGAAACAGGCATTTTTTATTTACTAACAGCATTTTCACTTGAACATGTGATTCCTGGAAAGACAAACAAACATTATAAAAACGGAAAATAATCACCAAACACTTTTTACCTTTTCTATGTGGTATAAGATCCGTTCCCTTTTCTTTCAAAAATATTAGTAGACCACCGATGAGTATTCCAATAAGTAACGCTTTCATTATATTTTTGACTAAATGTACGTATTGTTTACACAGATTTTTTAACGATTTCCATGATTCTTTCAATTGTCTTGGTATCCACACCGTTTCTTTGACTGTTTTTTTAATTTTATCTCCAAGTGAATTGTCACCTGTTTCATTTCGATATTGTCGTGATCGAGCTTCATGTTGGAAATTTGACTGACTGTTATTAGTGCGAGTTGGGGTCTGATTTGTTGTTACTGGCGATGACAATCGAGTACGATCCTTAGCTGCATCTAACAGCTGTTGTATTTCACGTCGATGTTTAGCAATGGATTGTTCAACATCTTGGCTGATACTCGGCGCTACGGGAGATGGTAGTTGATCAGACGTTAAGCTAGAATCAAACGGTCGACGAACTTCGATTGAACGTTTTTGAACGGCTGGCGATGTGTGGCTAACTGAACGTGAATATAAATAATCTCCAGGACCGGTTTCTGCTTCGGAATCACTAAGTTCAATTAAGCGGTTGGCTGCGGAACGAGTAGAGGTTGATGTCGTTGTAATACGAGAGGTTGTATGAGGATGACGAGCAGATTGAATATCAGACGAAATTTGTTGTTGATGTCTTGTTTGTGGTCTCGAACATAAAACTTCAAGGCGCGCTGTTAACTGATCACGATTACGATTAGTAATAGGTGGAACAGGTTCTCTGTAAGCAATCAACTGTCGACGTAATTCCGCATCAGTTAATACCATCGTTTTATTTTTTTTTATCTAAATAGAAGAGATAGTCATTAATAGGAAAAATTATTTTTCCCGATCTTTCTATCACGAGTAAAATATTATTCCAATCGGGATTTTTCCAGTTACGATTCCCACATCAGACAAAGCAGTGCTCATTGCACAATGGAAACCAATGTGAAGAAGATGAGTGTTATGAAAGAATTCCCTTTTCCTGGAAATATAGACAGATAACTCGCAGTTTTAACTCAAGTTGCGGACAATTCTCGTTGAGCGTTACAACTTGATGAAGCCGCCTTCTTTGTTTCAAGAACTCTAGCACAAAGACAATCCCGATGACTCACATATCTTTATTTGCAGAGCATAATAACTTCCAACCACACAGTGAATTTCAGCCTCCAACATAAACAACATATTTTTTAAATAGTAAGCATGAATGATGTCATGGAGCGGACTTCTTTGCTATTTGGAACTATAGCGAGTACAATCAATTAGACCAGCGTTTCCCAATTTATTTTAGCCATGGAACCCCTTCATAATATTTAAAACTTTGCGGAACCCCAGTAGTATTTTGACATAATATTTGACAAAAAGTATTTAAGACTACGTAATTATTTTTACGTGGTGAAATTAATTTTTATCTTCTTATTTTTTTCTGGCGGAATCCTTGGTTTCACTTCACGGAACCCCATTTGGGAAACGCTGAATTAGACAAAAAAGTGTTGTTCTCAGTGACTGGTGGCGTCCTCTTCACCGCTCTTGGTTTGCAATAATGCATATTAGGTCAAAGTAAATATTCGATAGTTTTTCTTTGGAAATTATATGTAATCTAACAAAATAATAGCAAAAACAATTCTTCCCAGAAATCCTATGAAATACAAGAGACATCCAACTAGTAAAATTGATTCAATTGCAACTAGGTTTGCATTAATAATATATGTTAAAACTGATACCAATCCAAATATAGCATACAGACTAATAAAAGAAAATTATTTTATTCAAGTAGAATCAATCACATCTTCCATAATTCGAGGCACATAATTTGCATGTGAAACCGAAAGCCGATTTCTGTGTAACTTTCGAGTCCTGAGGGAGTCCAGCGAAAGTCCTCAAAATCCCACGGGAGTCCTGAGAAATCCCTTAAAAGTTCCATCTGACTCTTGCAGGATCCTGCAGGACCCCGTGACAGGAGTCCCGTGGAAGTTTTGCCGGGAGTCTCGAATAGGGCAACAATAGAGATCAGCGTAATAGAATGTAAATGCTTAAAAATTAAACTAGCTGCTTTGGGATATCAAATTATGTTCGATTAAAATTGACTGTTGAATTGTTATGTCTGATCTGTATTCGACCGACACACATTTATTACGTCGTGACAGTCAAGTAATTTTCGGTAACAGTTTTTTAAACCGTTGTAAAGATGTTTGCGAACGGCAGGTAATGAAAGAAGATAACCAATAGAAAACCTTGGAATATGAATTAAATAGGAAAGCTAATCGAGCTATTTGTATAGATAAATTAGCGATGGCCTTTTGTAATAGATCTTCTTCTATCGATTATGTAGCAGCTGAATAAATAGTTTGTATAGAGTACGGTGTTAAAGCGATAATCAAAGTAATAATTTTTATTAACATCATTAACGCTTAAAATGTTACCGATATAGATGAACAACGTTTTGATTCTGTCGAAAAGTTCAAGCATTTTTTGTATGGATTTAGACGAAAATAGATTATCAATACAATGAGCATAGAGCAGAGTATTAACAAAATAGGATAGATATGTAATTGGAGAAGTAATTTAATAAACATGTACACACTAAAATGTTTTGTATCACACTCAAATATCTGTAATCGGAATCACTGTTAGAATTCAAAGCCAAGTTACATGTAGGATAAATTTTTCTTGAAATTTTATTCTATTCACGGTGTTGTGCGATTTTCTATGTGCTAACAAAATAATCAATTGATGCTTAAAAATTTCATAATATTTTCAACAAAATAATCATTGATGCAATTTATTTCTGACATGAAAATGTTGATGCTATAAATCCAAGATAACATATAAATTTACAAAACATTCGAGTTATTAGTACTGAATCTATATAAAAACGTTCTATTCAGATTATATTACACAATCAGAGCAGGTTAAATATCGATGCAGTCATTGTATATATAATTAAAACAATGAACAGTTTAAATATTTCATGATGAGATAAAAGATGTTTTCAGAGGTATCAAAGACACTAAATAGTTTATAAACTTTGATTTAACTAATAATCTATTCACAAGAATTTAATATTGTAACCGAGACAAAGAGAACGTAATAATAAGAAGGAATTTAAGTAGCGGCTCTTTTCAGTCTTCGACGTGCTCCCTGAACCCTCTAAACAGACTATTTTGCAGCTGTATCGATGGTTTTATTGAAATTTGAGTAAATATCAGATAAAATGTGTTACTATTTGTAAGTGTTTGGTATTTCATATATTTTAAATGGTCTTCTTTCATGTCTCAACCAAGTAATAAACAAAGTTTAAGCATAAAATTAGAACTGACTTATTAAACGTGTCACTTAATTTTTTCAATTTGGTTATATTCTCAGTTGAATAATATAATAATGTTGAATGAAATACATGTACTCGCATAAAGCAATAAACAAAGACAGGACAACTTCAATAAATGTTTTGGAAATGTTTACTTATTTCTCTATATCACATGTTCAACAGTGATTTATATTGACAAATTATCCAGTGTATAGAATCGATATTAAGATGATTCAATCATTCAAATAAATTAAATGGAAACATCAGTAATAATACATTATCGTATGGCATACTACTATGTCTGTAGAATACAAAATGATAATATCTCACCATTAGTTAGTTCATTTCATGTTGAGGTGCATTAATACAATAATATAAAATGTTTCGATTTCTTAACACTATTATGTAACCTAACATTGAACATTAAAAACCTAATTCGTTACCATTCGTACACATAAAATCATCTGTGTTGATGATTATCAATGAAGAGAGATACACATTGAAATGATTATAAAAACTATTCAAATTTTAATGTTTAATTCGATTACATTAGTTACAAGATTAAATCACTTGCTACGGATTATTTCGGCATAATTTGAATGAATACATTCATCACCATAGAATGATATACACTACATATTTATACACCTAAATAATTTAGTTCATCTTCAAAATTAATAATTCTAGTAATGGGTGGCTACTTCGTTTAGAACCCTACAATATTGGAATTACCTACCAGTGCGTAAAGTATCTTGAGTATAACATCGGAGACAGCAAGAAGAGACAACATAAACATTATTGTACATTTTTTAAAAAACATTTCAGAGAATATGTACTAAAAAATGACGTTCACTGTCAATTAGATTTCCGAATTAGTTCGAAGATCAAAAGAAATACATCTCTAATAGAAAAACAATCTTATAGGCATAAATTCTGGAAAACAAAGATTTTTCAATAAAACAAAGCTCGTATTTTGTTACAATTCAATAAACAACAATGTTAAACTTAAAAATATCATTGTATATTCGAATTTGATTTCAGAAACATTCCTAGTATTCATTTTCTATTACTGTATGAATCAATTCTATGATAATCTTATGTAATGATTAGAGTTAATCAGCAGTCTCATTCAGAGATTCATGAAATGAGAGAAAGTAATGTGTTTTTGCAAAAGTATTTTGTTATTGAATACTGATGAGAAAATAGTCCTAGTATCATAGTCATTTGAACAGTTTTAGGTGTTAATAAAACGTGTATATATTATTTTGTTTGACGTTGATTAGTGCCATTCATTAACATTTTTGAACGTAAAGAAGAATAGCTATTATGTGAGTTAATCACTTCTTTTGAACTATAGAGTGTACATGAAACGGACGATGGTGATTGATAATAGACGAGACATTAAATTATCTTTACGATGATAGAGTATTTCGAAATAGACAGTTCTATTTATAAACGTTTTACAAAAAAAACTTTGCATCAACGTTACTTGTAACACGAGGTTCAATAAGTTAATAAATTAGTGGAAGGTCTCTATTTATATTTATGTTATAATTCCTAAAGTTAGTAATGATGATATTTCCCACCGATGAAGTTTTAATCTCTCAACTGTTGAATCAATTGTAAACATCGATAATGAGCCAGAAATGGTCAAATGGAAAGAAAACGTCTCTAATCTTTCAACAGTTTATTTTGCATAATTAATAATTGTGTTAACTTTTCATGGTTGTGAAGTAATAACAAAGTTAACTTTCATGATCTTGATTAACACTTTTTATATATAGCCGAAGGTCTAGAAACAAGTTCCACTATTCATATATGTATTGTCGAACTGGAATTTCGTTTCTCTCTCTCTCTTTCTCTTTCTCTTTCTACTTGTAATAGTAGAGTAATAATAACAACAATAATCTCCATATCACTACACACACACATATACATATATATACGTATTAGAAAGACGAAAAGAAACATTTTTTTTTATTTAGAATGACATACATACGTTATACAGATTAAATATACATATATATTGTGTTCTAATTTCTTTTCCAATCTAATATCGACATCGACTTTGTCTTATTGATATCCATAAATATATATATACAACAAAATAGATCACTATATATGTGTGTGGAAAGTGAGAGAGAAATATAATTTGGAGACATAGTGAGAAAAAGAAAAGGAAAAGTGTTGTACACATTTTTATACTCATACATATTACACTCAAACTAATTGAACAAACAAAACGTCCTGTGGTGATACAAAATAAAATGATGAAAAGAAAAGAAATGTATCATTTAATATTATTATAAAAGAAAACAGCTTAAATTTATATTTTAATTATTATATTACAATACTATGGAGTGCGTACACTATTTTACAGGTAATTATAGAAAATAATTATTAATACAGTAGAAAGTTTTAATAAGTAATAGACAGACAACGATTAATTGAGTGTAAATCTCTCGTCTAATCTTATAAT